GAGCTCCAATGGGAGGATGAATCTACTCAAAATGCTTTTCTTCCCAGTTTCATTGCACGAAGATGAAAAGTGGTGACTCTCTGCCGCTTTTTCAATGTTGACTAACTGTTTGTTATATTGCCTATTTAGAAGTTCAAACCAAATTTCTGATTTTCTTTTATTTTTCCTATGTTTATCCCAATTTGATCTGAGCAAACCTTGTCTGCACTTTAGCCCTTGGGATGGTTTATTTGTAAAACAGATTTTATTTAGTGTGGTATAGATTGGAATTTCTTGTTACTTTATTAGATTGCTTGTGACAGTGTTGCTTTTCTGCACTTTAGCCATTGGGATGGTTTATTTGTACAGATTTTATTTTGCTTTTCTGCACAATTGAAACTGCTTGTTTGGCTTTGACCCAACTACCCTCCAAATTGATAATATAGATAACATAAGATATTTTGCTTGGTCACATTAATCAACTTTAGAGAAGATTAATCTGACTCAATTTTACTTTATATGTCTTGTTTTAGTTTTTGTCAATGTGAAATCTGAAAGTCATTTTCCATGTTCTGGTTCTGTTTTCAATTGGAAAAGTACCTGCAAGCAGTGACCAGATCAATTCTTTATTAAGAAAATATTAAATAATGGTTCTCCTCGTGACACTGTGCCAAACAAAAGTCAAACGGTCTGGATGGCTGATTAGCATTTAACGCTGAATCAGAGCAAAGAACAAAAGGCTTCTGCTCTTGTTATAGGTTCTTACTACTTGGAATGGCTGACCGGATCCATCCTTTATTAATTTTTTTAATTTAAGGAGGAAAATACTAGTTAGAATAACAACATTTCTCACCCCATAAAGAGAAACCTCTACTTCAGTGTCTTCAATTTTAAATTTAAGTGTCATCATATGTGTGGGTTTAATTTAATATAAAATTAATTTTGAATTTAATTGTTTGATTAGTTTGTTTCTTCCATCAAAATATTGTTTGATATATAAAATTATTTGATGATAATTCAAATTTTACTACTAAAATAAAAATCTCTTTCTAAAAAATAATCATTGAGGTGATAATATATTACATTATAATGTGTTCACAATGATCCTATTGTTATACGAGACGTATGCCTTGAGTTCTTAAGTGGTTCAAATGTTCCACATATTTCATGTTTAGCAGATGTGAAGCAGCTCAATATTTCATGCTGACGCATGATTGGTTGCAGGAAAACAAATAATTATGTAAGATTTTATCATTTAAAACTATAAAAATTAGTGGTGGGTTATTTGTTATCATTTTTTATGACTAAAGCCTGAGGGTTAATATGTTGGTTCATAACATGTTAATAATTGACTCATTTCTATAATGGGATTATCCCTGTTTCATTTTAATAATAAATACATTTCAAAAAACCCTATAGAATTTATAAAATATTTTAATAAATTCTACATAATTCTTAATTGCGATTTAATAATTGTAAAACAGTAATACTAAACAAAGACAGCTGAACAATGATGTATTAGTTTATATATACCAAACAAAAAATGGAAGTGAGACATGAAAAAGATAATTAAATGATTGTTGTCAGCATATACTTCCGAGTCATTAACTTAAAAAATGTGGTTACCTGCAGCTATCGGTAGAAATTAAAACATTAAAAGAGAGAAAAGGATAAGCATCCACTGACTAAATTGACAAAAGCACCCCATCAAGCCGGCTCATATATTATAAGTAACACTTGTAGTATTCTTCTGTCAGAATGGAATAGAATATTTCTGTTTCATGCCAAAAATTAAAACAATATTTTGCTTTTGTATAAAATGCTATTTGTTTAAATGGAAATACAAAGTCTTTTTAATTTTCTTTTGCTAATTAAAAAGGAAATTTTAAGAACAAAATTATAATTCTTGAATAACCTTTTGAATTTTGATTGATTGCTATAACCTAACTTTCAAATATTACAATCAAAAGTTTTTGCTATCATGAGTTATAAAAAAATTTTAGAAAATTTAAAATTATTTTTAAAGTATTTTTAATTTTTTTTTGGGATAATTAAATTTTTTTATTTATACTTTTTTTTATATTAAAGAAAAGAGATTCGAATTTTATTTTTTAGACAAAAGATCATGAACTAACCAATGAATCAAATGTTTAAATTTTTTTTATTTATATTTATTTATGTTAAAATTATTTTTTTAAAAGACGTTTATGTTAAAATTATTAACAATTTTATAGCTGATTTTTTTTTCCTAGCATTCTAAAAGTAGAAATAACTGAGATTAAAACTAATAGAAATAAGAAATTGGAATAATATTGCAATTAGGGGACGCAACAAAAGTTATTATTTCTAAAACAATATTAATCTTCTTTGTGAAATTTTTATAACTCAAGTTTTTACTTTTTGCAACCTATTTTTATTTTTGTATTATTACAATTTTATTCTTCTTTTTTTTGTCTCATCTTTAATTTGTTATGGTTAGGGTAAACTACAAATACACCATTTGTGATATAACATTTTCTCACATAGCACTCTAAGGTTTTTTTTTTCACAGATTAAATATCCAAAGAAGCCCTGAACAGTGTCAAAAAAATTAATTAAGTCCTTATCCTTTTCTTGCATTCAAATGAGCCCTTAAACTTTTATTTTAAGTCAATAAACCTCTCTCACTAACTGTTAACTAACTTTTGTCAATCAACTGTACAGCTAAAAATTTTTTACCATGTGACAGTTGACGTGTATTAAAACTTATTGACTAGCAATTGGGTTTTTCCCTTTTTACCCATCCACATGTCCAAAAATAATTGGATTAAGGATTGGAAAAAAAAGTAAAATAAATTAATTGCTTTAAATTAAGTCATGATAACCATCGTTTTTAACATGAACTAGACTTTTAACAGAAAAAGCAATTGAGTTTAAGAAAAAAACCCAAACATCATTGGTTAGGGATTATCAGAGTGAGAAGACGTTTGAGAAGACCTTTTAATGCAATTCCTTTTTATGATCATAGCACCTTCAGGATGAATATCTGCTTCAAGCCTAGGAGACTCATCTTCAATTTATATCTATTTCTCAATGTAATGAATTTTAGAACGAGTATTAAATTTTATCCTTATAACAATGTGTTAGGGATTATAAGGAGTGCTTCGCTCAAAATCTAGAGGTTCAACTTTAATTTTGAAAGAATATTTCTCTTCAATATATGGGACATGCTAATCATCAATACCAAGCTTCGAATTCTCATTCTTAGCATTACATGAAGGAGTTTCCAACTATAAAGCAACACTATGATCAACTATGTGAAAAGGATGGATTGATCAGGAAGGCCTTTCTTTAAAAATTGATCTTCTTACTTTCAATCCTTGGTGACTTCTTTCTCAGTATCAGTGGCATCGTCAAACAAGCTTGGATTGTTCATCATTATGATATCGAATGTTCTTTATTTCTTCTTTTGGAAGAAGAGTTTTGATAAATTTATTTACAGAGGTGGGAGATCATGAAGAGAGGTGTTGCGAATTTGAAAGGAGTAAAAAGAACAATTTCACTTGGAGAAAGATTGTTGTTTTTCTTTAATTGGTCGGTTCAGGGGAGAAGGAGTCCCCCCGATGACCGAGCCAATCAGAACAACCAACGGTTGCTATTATAATAGTCAGTTACAATAACCGACAATTGCGATCGGTTGCCTAGTTGCAACCAACAACTACATGGTCCTAATTGCAGCTACACAAAAAACATGCGGAGGAGAAAGGAAGTTTGCTTGCCTTTCTTAAAGTACACTATACAAGAAAACAAAATCCCACCATAAATGAATATGATTGCACCTACACAAAAAACCTACATAGGAGAAAGGAAACTAACTCTTATTATTATCATTATTCCAATTTCATTTTCTTATTCTTTTTATCTCTTTTCAATTATTGTTTTAATAAATATAATATTATTTAATTAAAATGTATAAATTGGATTTTTTAAAAAAATAAAAAAATTAAATTTATTACTACTAATTTTTTTAAAAATATGTAATAAGTTTTAAAAGTTAATGATAGTCGATGAACATCTCTAATTGTTTAAAAAATCCAAGTTAATAAATACATTAACGAAGATTGATTAACTATAATAAATCAAGTAAGACCTAACAATAAAAATTCAATGGGTAATAACAAGTTACAATATGTTGTTATTATGCATTGAATATTTTATATTAAATAATCTCATTCTAGAATATTTAAATAATCTCATTCTAGAATATTCAATGCAACTGTTACAAGGAGAGGATGAGGAAAAAGTTCTTAATGAAAATATTAAATGTCTATAATAACATGGGTATAATGACAAATTCCACCTATATGAATATCAAACAAGAGTTAAAAAGGTTTACTCTTGTAAATATTTATAAAACCAAGATTAGCACAAGGCCATACAAATACTAAAGCAGTTGACAGAAACTTAAAGCGATTAAATAATGCTATGTGGGTTATATTTTCGATTATGACATAAGGAGTTGTGGTTCAATCTCTGTAATATCAATAACTTTGTAATTTTAAAATTTTTATACTAGTAGAAAGTTTAAATCTTCAAGATACTTTCAATTGTGCTTACTATTATTAAATATTACAAATTAGTGAAGGATTGTTAAATATATAATTTGTAATATTTCAAAGTTTAGTTGGGAGATAATTATTCAAGATGTGGCCGTTCAGATTAAAACACAACTATTTGAATATATAAAAATGTTTTCGACCAACACAATTATTGAAACACAACAGACACATCTATTGAAACATAATAAACTTATTTGTTGAATCATAATAGACACAACTTTTCAATATGTATAAAAAGAATGTATTTCTAAGATTTCGACTTTCAAAATTATTCTGTAATAGGCTTATTGTATCTTGAAGAAAAGTCATTGTCTGTAAATTCTCATAATAGGTAATAACTCTTTAAAAGACAGTGTATTGCAGC